CAATTAGGAATACCACTGGTATCACCAGGCAACCACGTCTTACTCCCACATTCACTTCAAAACGTGACTGAATTTTCTTTTCTAGATCAAGTGGAACGTGCCATTGTCACACAGCTGTTGAATGAAGTTGATAAAGATTTAACCACTCCGTAGTAATGAATCAGTTTCCAAATGGCTTCGCTGGAAATGCCATTGAAAGTCTCCTAAAAGTTGTTGAAACTGAAGTAGAGGTTTGAATACCACTCAAGATTCGGTTTGAGGATGAAGTGTAGAGTTGCAATTTGGTTACAATATGATTGGCGTTTCCTGAATCCTCCACGTTCTGGTCGGAGTTCTGCATCCAGTGCATCTGCTAGTCTCAACTTAGAATTTCGCTTGGCACCGGCAAGACTATAATTTTACGCCGGCTATTGCAGAGGTCTAGGTCACTCTTTTTTAGCAGTTCTAAGAGGTAACGTTCCTCCCAGACTTTCCGCAATATTGGCGTCTACATACTCGCTACGGCATTTGGATCTGCTTTCAGGAATTCAATGGGAATTCCGTCGGGTCTTGCCACCTTCCTGGCCGGTTTTCAGTGGCTTGAATGTATTCAAGACCTCCGCTTTTCTTGAGTGGTTGGTGTTCGCTGGCGTTTCTGTAGCCGCTGATGTTATTTGCGGACAGGTTACAGGTGATTACCAGTCTGGGGGTGATCAGGTCATTGTTTCCTATCCTTTCACTCTAGAGAAGCTAGATTTTATCCAACTGTTATCACAGGTTTTATCTGTGTTGAACTCTTCCCAAAAGGCTCCCTGGTTATACGGTATAACCTATTAAGGTTTCTTTTATGTGCAGCCTGCTCTTCTCCAGTTTTCAGTGTGTCGTAGAATCCTCATTTATCTTTCTTCACACTTTTCACTTCCTCATTCAGTACGTTGTACACTGATCTCACTTATCCTTCTGTTGTCTACCTCTGCATTAGTACACTTTCTGTTTCATCTTCCTCCTCTCGTCTGCTAGAGTCCGAGTGTCCGTAGGAAGTCATTCCCGTATTTGCCTCTTCTTACCTTTCTGTAAAGATCACGTTCAGTGGGTTCCACGATACTTCTCAGTGATGTTACGTAATGTCTCCGACCTTTCTCTGATATCTGCAGTAGAGGCGTAATTTAGGTTTCGCCCCTTTGTTTCTGAGTGCTGAACCTAGATTGTAGTTTGTTTCCAGTAGCTTTGAAGGCTTTCAGCTTCATATCGAGGAATCTCTGGACTAGACAGCAGTCTGAGGTTACACATATTCCCCTTTCCTTATTTTGTCCATCAGACTGACTCTTGGCTTTCTTGAGATTGAGATGAAGTTTTTCAGCGGCAGAAGGCAAGAGACTTGGCAATGGGACATTTATTTTGGAGTATGGAGTCCCTGCATAGCGACGTTATGTACGCCTTACCTTAGGATCACCAGTTTCAAAAATCTTCCGTATTGTGCTACTTCCGTCCTTCGTATTGGGCTTATATGTCTTCTTTTCGTGTCCTCCATGTTCCGCCGCAAGACTCGTTCATTTGCTCCCCTTGACATTAAACGTATCTCTCTGCCATTTGATATTTTCATGCCAAAAAAGCCTCTTTACGTACTACTGAAAATCTTTATCAGTACTACACTCCACAATTGCCCCTCTTCTTGGTTCTGCCAATTCCTTTTGCATATTGGTCCCGGCTTTCTCGTCCCACTGAATAATTTTCTGCAGCTGGCTGAGGTTAGCTGGTTTCCGCTTATTTTCTCTTTTGACTTTACAAACCGAACCAAGTCCCTCGTTGACACTATGTGGCTCATCCCACTTTGCGGGGAGTTTCTGTGAAGGTCGCCCGCATTCAGACGGGTAAAATTTTTCTGTAGAGTTCACTTATCCTCTGACGTCAATTTTTATGCATTCCACCTTTTCTTCTTGTTCAGATTTCATGGCGTCTGTCTTCTGTTCATGCCTTACATTCCGGAAAGCTTTCCTTTCACAGCCTCGTCATATTAAACTTCTGATGAGGGCGTTAGGTAGTGTTATGTGTAGGTAATCTCTGTTTCCTCCCATAAATCAAGGTAAATGGTGACTTCGTTGTTGTTTCCCGTGTAAAAACACGATGTCTTGGTAGGGTCAGTGGAAACTCTGTCTCCCAGTCACTTGCCCAGCTGTTGCAAACAGGAAGTAAATTCTTCCCTTTCATAAAAAGGGCCCTGACCTGTCACCATCATCTTCAGTACGCTGTTTTTTTGCAACGATGTGTCGAACTGCTGCATCAGTCATGGTTTTCTCGCGTTAATCAGGGATCACGACGGTGTCGATCCAGCGTTTCACACGTTCCGTCATCACCAAGAGGTGGTGACTGCCACTGGCTATCTGAGGAAATAGACCCATAACATCTACGGACCACAAATCATCCACCGCCGTACCTGGAATAGACTGCAGAGACGGTCGTATGCACCGATCTGCATTAACTAGCATTTCAGACAACTTTTGGTACATCTCTCGTTCCTGGCCATTGCTGCATGGGTGCACGATGTGCCAATAGAATCAGTATAAGCTCTGTCTCTCAACATCAGCTTCACCGTTCCTGATTACTGCGCCTATGCCGCAGTCATTGCGCCCTTGCATATTGTTAACAGATATCCGGGTACAAGGAATTTGGGTGTCAATTCTGGTTGTCTGAATGGTGTTTAATGCTGTGGGATATTTTCTACGGATCTTCCTACCAAACAAAATTCGGCTGACCTAGTAGGGGGGCTGCTTTCTCGTTGAAGTTTTTCACATACTGACTATTAAACGCTTCTGTCACCAGGAGATGACTTAGCTTCTTCATGGAGTTATTGTATCTTAACGTTGCCTGATTTATGCCTCTCCGGCGCAACACTCCGTTTGGCTATCTCAGATTTTGTTTCGTTGATGTGCAGTACAAACACTTCAATGAGTTTTAAAACGTTTTCGACAAGGTTCACATGGTTGATTTCATTTCGAGTGTAGATGACGACACGTCAACACCGTACTCCTCCACATTCTTCAAGTCTCTTAGGAATAGCATCATCAGTCGTCTGAGAGTAGAAGGTGCACCTGCTAGTCTAAATAGCGTGTTTAAAATGATACATTGTTTCTGTCCCACTAATAACGACATCTTATCACTGCCACTTTTGTTTTACTGGTATCTGCCAATATCCTGACCAGAAGTCAAGCACAGTAAACAAATTCGTGATTTGTTGACGATCCAAGGCCTCTACTACAGTTGGCGTGACAGACGGTTTGAACTCTGTCATGCTGTTTAGATGTCTGGGAGCGGAGCAGAATCTGCACTTCCCAACTGATTCCTTCATCGAAAGAACTGGAGACTTACATGGGCTGTCAGCCTCTCCAGTAATATCATATTGTAACATCCCCTTCATTTTTTTCAACTTCGCCTTCTTATTGACATGGGGCTCTTCTTATTCTGAATGGTGGCATTTCGCGACCTCTCAGTGGGACGTCATACCTCGCCTTATCATAATAACGCTAAAGATCCCCATCTCCACTGAATAAATTATCGCAATGGGTATCATCCGGAATCCTTCAACACAAGCGCTTATCCGTTTTCTCATTCTTGTGACCACTACATTTGTCTATTCACTTACTCTGAAATCATTAAATTTCATCATCTACTGGTTTATCCGTTTTTTAATTTAAGTCTACATAATCCCCACCAATTATGTTATCGACACATTTGTTTTCAACTACACTGAACGACCCATGAGTGAGAGAATTAACTCCAAACACAGAAGCAGCACGGTCTTACCATAAAGCATACTGTAAATCACATATGACTAATCTCCACACCACTCCTCTCGGAGTTTGAGTGGCGAGACAAACTACAAGGAGTTGCACCGGAACTTTGTCTTAAAACCAAGAAATGAGCCAAAAGAACTCAATTTAGTTCACACTAACTCGTAAATAGGATATTGGATGTATTGACACTGAATGATCTGAGCCGCGGAATAAATAAGGCGGTAAATTCAATAAAACATGCGTCTCCGCTACTACTTAGATTCTAACGGAGAAAGAGTCTATACAACGGAGGAGTGATTGTCAAAGTTTTGGCAGTCCATACATACTTCTGGTTCGTCAGGGAATCAGGTGACATATTGATTCATTCCGTTTACTATTCCACTTATCGCCTCATTTATAATCGCCTGTGGAAATTGTCAGGTTTTTATCTTTTTCTGGACTATCCTATGTTGGCAAGTGAGGGAGCATTCCACACGTGGTGTTCTGTTAGCCCAATTTAGAGGGAATATATTCATTTCACTATCGATGCAGGCATAAAATTTGGTTTTAGTTTCATTCTTGATTATCTGCTGGGTTTCAGAATCAACACCTTAGAAAGAAATATACAATGATGGTCTTCAGTAAAAGTGCTGCTATCTATTGATCTATCTCACTACCTTTTAATTTCAGTTCTCGGAGCCATTGACGAGATCCTTTACAATGAGGGAGGATAAGTGGAAACATCCATTTTAGCCGGGATCCGCTATGAACTATGTGAAGGAGACTATTATACGTTGACCTCCACACTGAAAACTTGGTCAACTTAAAGAAAACTATACACTAGATACAGACGATCATACCTGACAAAAAACTGACACCAGACCAGTGTCAGAAGAAATACATTTATTATAATACCAAACTATGAGTTTATGCCGAAAAGTACAGCAGAAGGAAGACAGAAGCAAGTGGGGACGTGCAGTTGAAGCCCTATGTTCCACTAGGAACCCAAGGGAACAATAATATACTAATAAACTATGAGTTTCACATATTGGTGACGGTTGATAACGTTCATTACTCAGCTACCGCGATTGAAGTACATGGAGTGGAACTCAAACTGAGCATCCATTTACTATGAAGTGAAGAACTGAAGTCAATGAGCCACACCTCTATCTACTTATGTTATAAATAACTATGCCACGACAGATCAACAATAAAGCATCAAAGGTTAATAATATCAAAAGTATGTATTTCTTTTATGAAGTAGTATAATGATTCCATCATTAGATATAAAATAAACAAATATCTGAAAAGATTAAAACTGCACGATTGTTGATTTCACTGAAAATGAAACGACAAACTTAGGATGTTCACATAGCAAGTGTGAAAATGAAATGTATCACGGCTTATTTTCAAAAAACCAAAATAGTACATAAATGCAAGAGACACACAACAAACATTAAGAATACAATCTAACTGAGATCAATAACAAGATTCGACTCATCCACATAACATGGTGATTCTACTTCTTGTAGAACAGTTGATAAAACATCATCATTATGATTTTCTGAAAACTGTTCCAATACAGAGTGATGCAAATCATCATTGGTAGCATTTATAACTGTATGACTAGACATGGTATCAACAAGTGTGGTGTTATGTGCATTTGAATTCTGTGTTAATGTATTCGATGAATTGATATCGTCTGACTTTTCATTTATACTAAACTCAGAGGATAGTTTATTGGTAAGTTCACTATTAGATGATGATGGTGCAGCACTGATGGCTGCTTTCAATGCATTCTTCAATATATGATTGGTCGCTAAAATCAGAAAAGTAAGCAATCTATTTTAAACAATATTCAATTATGAAGTCATAATAAATAAAATAAACACGATGAATATATTGATATTCAAATGTTGGTTCGCAGGGATTGGATTGGTTATAGGTTTGATCATGAGTTGACATCAGTTAGAGAACCATTGGAAAACCTGAGAGTAATGGACATCTCTTTCATTCTAGTTATTTTTCGGGACTCTTCATCAGTACACACCCACTGGGTTTCGAACGCAGTAGCTTCCGGTTACAAGGTGACTCGCAGACCATTCAACCCACTGAGCCCTTGCATCGGGTCCCTGTGACTAAGTGGTCTACGAACTCACCTAGTAACCGGAAGATTCTCAGTTCAAACCACAGTGGGTACATGCTGCTGAAGAGTCAACGATAATATTCAGCAATTATAACATCTAGTTTCAGGTCGCCTGAATAGTTTTAAATACGAAATATAATATAGTTAATATCCTATCCAAAAACACAGTTTCTATAAAGAAGAAGGATTGAGATTTTACCAATTATTTAGGCAAAGTGAAAGTGAATTTCAATTTTAACAATAGAATATATCTGGTTGGTTACTACTTCCCGGCTACCCACACAGTGAAAGTTGATTTCTTCTTGAAATACTTGAAACAAAAAGAGCATAATGTTGGTGTGACCGCACAGCTCAGGTGATAACTGTTTGAGGCTGACTACACAAGGCCTGTTTGAAGTGTTTTTTTGCAGTTGTGTACGTATTAAGACCTTATCGCGGGCTACGCGGATCAGCGCAAGGTAAATCAGGATATATAATTTTCGGCGTCGACCTTTTCTAACACCCCCAACCCAGAACGCAGAGACACTACAGTTGGTTTTTAAAAAGAGAAACACCTTACTGTTATTACATCTCTATTATACAGTAGAACGGTTGCGTCCTCAGAGCCTCAATATAGTGTGAGAGACTTACAATATAATTGGCATCTGTTCATGATCTAGCTGCTATCCAACAAACCTGCAGGAACATTTGTTCTACTTAATGTAGCTCATAGTATCACCCCGATATATAAAGTCGACCACCACCTCAAGGTGGTGACTGGGAAAACGTATAATATCAGTCATATCTGATAGTTAGGTGCTAACAGTTAAAGACGATGGTGATGAAAAATTAATTTGAAAGTTTTCTTTTCACAACCATTTGAACGTTAAATTATAATTAGGCTTAGATGAAGAGTTCCCACAATAATTTTGTATTTCTTATTGATTGACTGTGTTGCATTGAAATGCTCAGTCTCTGTTGACATTTCAACTCAACAATGTCTAAGGACCAAAGTGAAGTTATTTCAGCTGGTGGTAACTAGCAGTACAGTGTCGCTGGTTCAGCGGTTGAACTCTCGCCAACCACGCACGTGGTCTGCGGTCCGATCCTCAGCCAAAGCACTCCTCCTACACTTTGTTAAGCTGGTAGTACGGCCTGTAAGGAAGAAAGGTTGGGCGCGAGGCTAGCAACCCCACCCCATAAAAATTAAACCACCGCTACCGAAACTTCAAAGCTCTACCTTGAAGCCCCACATTCCACTCGGAACGTAAGGCAATAAAATTAAAAAAAAGCAGTACAGTCTAGGACGCGCATTTCGTCCTACTTGGGATTCATCACCCGAATGTACCTGCATTCCCAGTGAGTGACAGTGTTCTCATTGGGACTCAAACCCAACATCCATTATTTCAAACGCTAAAGCATTATGCACTACCCCAAGAGAGCCATTTCTTGGCCGACAGTTATAAGTTATTATTTGTTTAGCGTTTGAAACGATGCGTGCTTGGTTTAATCTCAAGTGGTAACATTACCACTCATCGGGAATGTCCTAAATAGGACTAAGTGCGTATCCTAGACTCCATTGTCAGTCCCCACAAACCAAAGACTAGATGAAGAGTGTTTCAAGTGATCGCAGAGAAAATGATTGATTTTAACTTGATGAAGGTGCTAAAAAAAACCATACCACAAAAAGGGACCAAATATTTTGAGGAATATTTCCTTGAATTGTTTCACCACCGTTGCTGAGAAATTTAAAACTTTTAAAAAGATAAATAGTCTTGGTTTCCCTATAGGAAAGATGTTTATATTTCTTCCTGTTTTAGCTACAAGGTAATAAATAAAGCTGTTACAATGAAAAAACTACATGAGAATAATTACTCTACCTTACTGAATTTATATCCACAATGGACCTTAGTAATCATCATATATCTGCTTATCAGACAAAAGATTCATTTAATATTAACAAGTAGTTAGATAACTTAAATATATTAAAGGAATAGTGGATATTCTATCAGTGATAATTGTGAACGCACGGCTTATTCTGGTCTAGTCATCCGACTCGTCTAGTCATTCCAACTAATTCAACCTGAGGAACCCCTAAGAGTACTTCATACCATTACAAATAACACACAGCCTATACCTATAGTGAACAACACTCTACCGATGAGCTCAGTTGGGATTAATGAAACAATAAATAGTTCACTGGTCACATTTCCATTATATCCTATGAAATATATGAGTATACAGAGCCCTGTTCTTTGTAATTAAAAGATTCGCATGATAACTGACTTCAGTCTGGTTTATCTAACACACCAATACTGTCAACTTAATCAGTTTGAACGAGGGAGGAGTAAAGAGCAAATAATGAATTCTGTGGAAAATATAAAAGAACACAAGTATACAAAATTCACCAGCAAGCCAGTGTACTCAAGAGGATGAAATAAATCTCCAACCAAAACGAAAACAACTTTTACAAAAAAATATATATCAAACATACGTGTTTTTAATTTATTAGTAATAAGTGTTCCAGCAGAAGATTTTCGAGCTGCTAGCCGTTCCAAAGCTAAACGTCTATTTCTTTCTACACGTGATTCAGAACTATACGAAGTAGATGCTTGTGGTAGGTGCAAATTGGAGTCGTCAATTGAATCTTGAGTATCCTGATAGTCTGTGGAGTTTAGATCTTTAAACACGTCATTTGTTTTAGGCGGAGTATTTTTAGCCGTGGGTGTATTCTATAAAGTAGTAATAAGAAAATCAAATTGTTTGAGGGAAATACGATTGCAAAGAAAAGAAAAGCAATACTAGAGTTAAATAAATCGTGAATTGTCCTATGAAATGAAGTGATAATGAATATTTATAACTCTTGGGAACGACATTACTGACATAAAAGGTAATGTTTACAAGTATTGTAACAACAGAAGACAAGGGCCAGGCAACAGATCGTTTATCAAGGAAATCAACACATATCTATATATTTTCATGTACATTATTATAGCTTGTTGAAGCAAACAAACACAGTCTTCTGATTAGTTGTTTCTCACTGGACGTTAATCTTTCATCTCTTTGTGGCTGTTTCTTGAATGTCAGACCATCTATATGTTAACTGTATCCGCCTACGCAAAATGAACTGTGGTTGTTTGTTGAATCAGTCTTTGTCCATATTTTCTCACGACTAATCTTTGGGACATAAACAATGACGTAAATTACTGTCTACCAATTTGGCTAGCAGCCTGCTCTCACCACAGTATGACACAGATCAGTCTATCAGTCAATAAGTAAATACGTGAAACAACCATAGAGAAAAAGATCAGATATCAGAAAGGCAGCCAGTTGAAATACCTGTGTGTAAAGAGTGATAGAATAACTACTGAAACAAAAGATTATAATCTAATTCGTCACAGAAAGGCTGTTTAGGCTTATACGAGAAATATGACAACTTGCTTAAACGGGAACGGAAATCTCACACAGTTAAATTGTCTACTTCAGTAAACGCAACGATGGTCTGTTTGAAATCACAGAACTTTCATCATTAATATTGCATATATAGTTTCTCTTGTTCAGTTCGCTTTAATCTATTAAAATATGACGGCGGTGACTTAAGACAATTACACGCTTCTAACCGTAGCGTGAAATATGAAACAACAATTTCATGAAGCTATTCCCATTGATCCACACTGGTTAGTTGACAAAACTCAACGTGTGTCATTGATTTTGCGTAAAAATCCCAATTCAAGATATTCAGTGACATCAAGGTTAGTGAATTAAAGCCTTGAAGGTTTCCAACGAATGTTAGCGCGTGTAGAAAATTCTTCTAGATGGAAATTACAAGTCAACAAAAAGAAACCACCATTGTTAACTGTGTAGTAGTATGTCTTATCAGATCATACGAAGATAGTTGCCTATTAGATTTTCACTAGCTTAAACCACGAACTAAAATTAAACTGTCCCTTAATTTTTGTTTAGGCCAGTAATAATATCCCCTTGTCAGTTTATTATCTTTATCCATAGAATTTGAATATATTCATGACTTTGTTCATCGTTACATCTCAAAACAATTTTGATCGTGAACTAATAGCAACTAAAGAATCACCGAAAGTCAACAGATTACTAGAGAATCTTAAGTTTCGTTTATAATTTTAAAATATTTTACACATAAATTCAAACATTTTCGCGCCATGGATTGATTACTACTTTTCTTTCCCACCAATTCTCTAAACTTCACACACATTCGTTATTAGTTCTCTATATTTATTAGCGGACTAGTTATTGGACTAAACCAACAGAATTGTATATATTCAACATCTCTTTCAACTGTGTTGACTACTGCTCAGACAGTGAAAACACTATATCAGTGATTCACCTTGCTTTCTTATTACACATGAGCAGTGGTTTCCATTATTGCTAACTTTTACCGTTAATTGCTTTCTTAGGTATTCTCTTACTATCAATCAGTTTTCTCCATTCCTTTGAATTTCGGGTCGAACATAGAACTTCAAGCAACAGCTTTGGTATTTCAGTAGCTGTGGTGTTGTTCTAATAAGGTGGGGTTGCTAGTCTTACGTCCAACCTTCTCTACTATCAAGTTAAGCGAAGTTTAGGAGGGAATCGGCCAGCTATCGAACCCAGGTCACTTGTGTGTTTGCGTGAGCATTCTACCACTGAAACTAAACTTGAAGTGATAGTAGTCTGAAGTGATTCTGAGTAATAATTAATTTCATCTAACATCTTAAACAGTGATAAACACATCCAGATGACGAGTTCCAAATAGGACGAAATGCGCATCCTGGATTCCACTGCTAATCATCATCCACCAATTAAAGTGATAAACACAGCTCATGAGATATAAGAAGATGATATCATTTATTGAATAAATCCAAATTTGTTAAATTATGTACACAACTTACACCTCTTTGGAAATAATTAGCCTGTAAATCCACATATAAGTAGCACTCCTTAACATTCAAAATAACACATCCCAGATGATCAAGTAAATTTTACTGCTTAAAAAAAATAATCAACCATAATTATTCAATAAACGACAACAACAATAAATGACAGTCCAAATTTGTCTACCTGAGGAACAGATTCTATAACACTTCTCCACAAAGCATCTGGATCTTCATGTTCTCGTTCACTCTCATCTTCAGATGGTTCTACTTGTTCATTACTTGCATACGGTGGCCAAATACCATTTCGAAGTCGATCTAAAGCAACATGTATTTCACGTTTACTGCCAACATGTTCTAAACGTTCAACTACTTCAGGAAAAGTTAATCTTGGCACTACACGATTTGCCCATGCTTCATACACATATAACAACTTTTCTAAATCTTGAAACTAAAGAGATAGAAAAATATATACAATGAGTGGAGAGTGAACTTTCTGTTAATAAAATTACTAGCATACAAATAAAAGAGAAAAGAAAATACCTGAAAGTGATTGTAACAGGTAAAATTAGGGTGCGACAGATACTTTTCCCGTTTTTTTCCTCTTAGGAGGCTACCTTCAAAATGATCTTTAGTAATATTGAGTAGGATAATTGTATCAATACACCCAACATATTAATAACGTGTGATAAAATCACACTGGTTACATGAAATCATCGATTAGTTATTCCACAATGATAGCTTTCCTGATCACGTCAGTTACTAATGCAGATTCTTTTGAAGAAGGCGAAATTAAGTCAGTGGGGATTTTACGACTTCAGCTAAGCTGAAAAAGATAATCTCCAAAACAAATGACTAACCCTAAATAGGTGCTGATAAATTCTCTCACATAGGAGTCTAAGTATCCCCCGTCATTCTTTTGTGTTCCAAGTGAAACATACGGCTTCAAATGGGAGCTTTCGAAGTTTCAGTAGCAGTGGTGTTGCTGGCTTCTACAAGGTGAGCTTGCTAACCTCCAAACCCAACATTCTCTCCTTACCGGGCTTATTGGCGGCTATATGAGGTTTAGGAGTACGTCGACTGGGAATCGAAACCACAGACTAGGTGCGTTGTCGGCGAGCATTCTACTGCTGTGCCACCGACGCCCAGTTATTTATTTACAGTACTACGATTTTTCCTAATACGTATCAATTTGCATACAATAAAGGCCCCGTGCACCAGTGAACAGAAGTATCAACATTTCAAAAGTTTTATCGGCAATTAGTCTCTCTGTCCGTTTTCGACAAAGAACTTTGCACCGATGTGCAGCAGGTCATGTCGCCACACTCCCTCTTTGTAGCACACAAAGCAACAGAAGAAAGTAGAAGAAATGCATAATAGGGACAGTGAACAGAGGTGTGAGACAAAGGAGTAGTAATAACGAAGAACGATATAGTTTCATTGGAGATCGTAAGTCACAGGGAGTGGAATGCATCTACGTCAGCCATTGAGAACGATTTTGAGCCATATCACCGACTGTTTCCAACCATTGGATTTTGCCGTCCTGAGGACCCCAACCAGGAAGTCTGCAATTAGTACTAAGCAAATATGTGAAGACATAAGAATTTTCGAAATCTTGCTAGACCATTCAGAAAAATACACAACTATAAACGAAACCAACTTTAAACAAAATTACCCTCACTGCATGTGATTATCTAAGCAACACGACGGATTAGATGAACCAATGAAAAGAGGCCTAATAAATTAAAAATTATGATAAAGGAGTGTTATAAAAAATTATACAACAAGTAGAGAACTATCCTACATACCTCATGACCTTTACCACGAAATTTAACCTTCTTGAAATCGTCAAGTAAAGCAGGTAAGCCTTTGTTACTCAGCAAGCTAAATAAAATAAAAAACCACTAAATAAGCATATGAAATGAAGTTAAACTGAGAAATCATATAAGGAGGTAAGCCGTACGCAAAAACAAAACTAGGATGCGTGTGTTACTAACACCATATAGCTCAGCTGACATTGGTTAGTGAGAAGGAGGATTCCAAACAGTTATCGATAACTATTTTTGAGCAATTTCCGCCTATTTTACACAAGAAAGTATCACACACACACACTTGCAAAATGAAGTGACAATTTTGTGAAAATATAAAATCTCTATCATTCTTTGCATTTCAAGTGGAACATAGCGCTATAAAGCTTTGACGTTTCCGTAGTAGTGGTGCTGTTTTGACGAAGTAGGGTTACTAACCTCACCCCAAACTTCTCACCTTTCCAGATTTAATAACAGATAGCAAACTAGGTGAGGTTTAAGACTGAAACCCGGACAAGGTGTGTGTGTGCGGTCAGCGATCATTCTACTATTGAACAACCGACACAAAATATGAAATAAAGACTATATATTTTAATAACAACATATTTTCTCAACCGTTCTGATCGTCAGTAAGTCAGTCTGAATATGGAAAACTACATGTGTTACAAACCATTCGTTAGCATACGTTCAGTTTGATGCTGATATGATATGATCGTAAAGTTGCAGAATTCACTCTAGATGTGAGTGAGTACAATAGATGATTCTCATAATTATCAGAGAACTGGGGTTAACTTTATTATATAAACAAAACAATCTATGCTCTAATTTATGTCCAATCATAAAATATACTTGGTCCTATGAAGGCCGACAATCAATTTTTGACACATTATGGTTACTTCCTAGGGAGAAGATACCGTAATAAAAAGTTACAATACATGAAGACGTATCCTATATTCGAACAGAACAATATATATCTTATATGATGAGGTAAGTCAGAAAGTTACATCATCCACTTTGAATTAGACTTTAAACATTTAATAATTAGGAATCTTTAAGGCTCAGAAAGTAATTCTATGTACGTGTCTGTCTGGATTCAACATAGAACTTGGCACCGAAGTGCACCAGTTCGAGTTGCCACGTTCCAATTGGCACACAAGGTAGACAAGAAGATGAGTGAAGAGAATCAATACAGTCTGACAAGTATAAGAGTGAAACAGAATGGGTAATGGTAGAAAGGAATATGAAAGATTACAGAGACTGAATACATCTGCGCTGGCCATTGACAACGATTTTGAGCCATGTCACCTATTGTCTCTAGCCATTGATTCCTAGAGTCCCGAGGGCCCCAACCCGGGAGTCTGCATCTCCCTACCTGACTCAGTTTAACTGTCAAGGATTTCATGGATTGATGAGGCCATGTTTTTGTTTGGCCACCACTGGCTCTTTTCCAACCTTCACCTATATCAGCTAGCAATGCCCGTCGGGGGAGGCGGTGGTTAGGCATGCGCAGCACGTGACCTAGCCATCTTAGTCTATGTAACTTTATAGCCTCGTCGATTGATTTTCCCTCTTTGCCCAACACTCTACGCCTAACGTCAACATTACTTACCTTGTGAAACCACCTAACGTGAGACAGAGATCGCAGACATCTATGATCGAAAGCAGTCAACCTTTTCATGTCTTCAACACGTATTGGCCATGTTTCAGAGCCATAGAGAAGGATGGAGCGAACTGCTAAGCAGTACACACTTCCCTTGGTTGATAACCAGATGTCACGCCTACGCCAGAGATGGTGTAAGTCAGCGAAAGCATCTCGAGCTTTTTGGATCCGTGCTGACATTTCGTCGCCAATCAGTCCGTTGGTTCTAATACAACTTCTCAAATAGGTGAAGTGGTCAACATGTTCTATCACTTCACTCCCTATCACTAAGCTAAGAGTTGACGTAGTCCAGTCCTGTAGCAGCATCTTACATTTTGTAGGGGCGAACCGCATGCCAAACATACGAAGATTGCTGTTCATGGTGTTCAGAAGACTCTGAATTTTGTCATCATCCTCCCCTAACAGGACTATGTCATCTGCATATTCTAAGTCCATTAGATTATTCCCTGGTAACAAGTCGATTCCTAAGTCACTACGTTCAGTTAAGGATACTTCCATCAGCATATCTATGATGAAGTTAAACAGAAATGGGGAAAGTGGACATCTCTGTCGGACACCACTGGTTGTTACCAATTCAGATGACAATTCCCCATAAGCCCTTACACGACTACGTGAGTTTGAATAGAGTGCCTTGATTAGTGCAATGTACTTTCTTGGCACTCCCTTCACATTCAGACATTGCCATAGTACCTTTCGATCCACGTGTAAAGCATTCCAACAAAGTTGCTGGATAAAAGTTGGTCTTTTCCAAGCACTCTTCCTTAAACTTTATTTGGTACACCCAACTTAATGGAAAACAAGCGTCCATCCACCAAACATGATGATCCTATGGATCATTACATGCACTAAATGATATTATTCGTCGACATAAAGTATCAGTTTAAATACACATACACTTCTGAATAGAGTTGTAATCAATATTATAAGACTCATTTCAAAATCGATGCAGTTCTTTGCAACAACAGCAGCTTCTTTTGTTGTAATTTATCTGCATCTATCACCGATTGAATCTCTACACTTTTAGCATTGCCTAACATACAATTTAAGAAAGATATCAGTGATGTTTCTTTCAAAACTCTAAAGACAAATATTGAATTAGTTTTCAAAGATAAAACATATCAACCTACAGATTGAATGTAATCGCTTCAATTACCAAGTAAGCTTACATCATTATCACGATTATTAAATATTTTCTGTCAGACATCCCATTTAAAAATTGTGAATACGTTTTCATGTGAAGTGAAGGAGACATTACTAGTAAAACAACTAATTAACTGTTCATCTTAACATTCTATGCACAAATACCATCAAAATGGATGCCAACACCATAGAAAAGTGAAGAAATAATACTATATAATACCAATAAAAACGAATAATATATTAAGAGTTAATTTAAATCTGAGATGTCAATGAGGATATCTACACTTTGCTGTATGTCGTGACCAATACACAGTTAATTTTCAATAACCCAATCTTCCTTTTAGTATAGAGCAAGATAATATATATATATATATATATATGTATATATATATATTGGAGTACACAGCTCCGTCCCTCAAACCTGACACAATGAATGAACAAGATTTCATGTACTGACTAGAAATCTTGATCCAATATCACCTATTACAGTTCAATCACAAAACAAAAGCTGGAACCTCCCTCAGATCTGCTCCACCGAACAATCATGTTCTGCAGTTATTAAAGTGCGTCGGTGGCATAGCCGTTAGGACGCTCGCCGACCATGCACATGGTCAGGGGTTCGATTCCCGGCCACCGACGCACTCCTTTACCTCGCTAAACCAGAAATAATGCTCGTAAAGAGGAAAGGTTGGGCATAAGGCTGGTAACCCCATCCTGTAAAATTAAACACTGCTACAGAAACTTCAAGCCACTAGCTTGAAGTCCTATGTTCCACTGGGGAAAGTGAAAGAAAAAAAAACAGTTATTAAAAGCAGGACTGAAATCATTGTTGCACGATACACTTAAGACTACTGAGAGGTGATAGGATACTTTATTTTTATTTTTTTTAATTTTTGATTACAGCTTGATTCCACACTGTATTTTTGGTACAAGTATGGAATTTTCAGCATGGATATCGGTAGCCCAAATTTCGCAGGCCGACCATAGATATCAGGTGTTCTTCGTCGGCAGGGGGTCGAACCTCGGACCATGTGCATGGTCGGCGAGAGTCCTAACCACTGTGCCACCGAAGCACCGAAGCATAACCACGAGTGGACTTGGCAGATATAAAGCAAAAATAGACATTTTAATATCCATGCAGAAATCCAATTAATACTGTGTAAATGAAGTAAAAGAACGATATTATAATCACTCAAAAAGTCATACATTTTAATAGTCATGTGTGTCAAATTAAAAGTTATTACTTAACAGCTATCACTACTGCCATACAACAAGTGATATAATAAAGTATTAAGTAGTTGCTTATAAGCAAAACATGCGAACAAACAACAATAACAACAGTATTTACCATTGTGGATCTAATTTTGGACGTGGATTTTTGACAACTCGTTTAGCAGCACCTTTAGACATTTTACGTAGTCTCTCCAAAACACCAATATCCACAGCATCTTAAAATGTATATAGAAAAAAATAAATAAATGAAAATACAATTAACAACGAAGATTACGAGTTCAGATATTAAAAAGATTGATTCAATGTCAGAGTTCCTTGTTGCTTATTCTTTCTGATCATGTGCTCTTCAGTATGGAAACGGAGAAGGCAGTTGTTGATGAATGTTTTCAACAGTCTTTCAGAAATGCTTTTCGTAATGCATCAAGTCTCTGAAACATATAGAAGTACTAACTTGATATTAGAGTTGAAAATCCAGATCTTGTCCTTTGTACTGAGAGCAGCACATTTCCACAGTGATTTCAGAGCCATGAAGGTCTGTCTTACCTTCCGAATAGTACCTTTGAAATCCTCATCCCTTATGCCTGTAGTTTCAAGCTCTCAACTCTTTGTCTAGCTAACTCATAACCCTCAGCTGCGACGAACTTTTTCATTTTTCAGGATAAAGGGACTACGAAGCGGCCCTTGTTAAAATATGTTTCTGCCTGAACTACATCAATCTCCTTCAAATTATCCAGTGATAAAGCTTTATTGCAGGAATTCACGCCAGCGAATTCATAGTTACATGCGTCTTTCAACCGACCTGGAGTGTTGCATATTCATGAGGTGAAATTCACAATTCTTCGATCGTATCTGTTGTAGTCCAACGGCCCGAAGAGGACTCAACCAAGTAGATTTCGGACTGCACATGTACTTTTCCTCATTCAGGCTTTTGGTCTACAGCCCAATGAACTTCAGGTACGTCACACCTGATGAACAAGAAGACTTCACTCCCATCTATTTCCCTCAAAGGTACATTTGCAAAGTGTGGGCAGTTTTCTTTACTTTATCTGATAGATCTTCTTGGCCCTCGCAGTGGATGTTTCATAATGGCTTGGTCAACCGGTTAAAAATTCATCAACATCCCATGGATGAACTAAAAAGGTTTTACTGCTAAATACCACTGTGTTCTGCCATTACACCAGCATAGCATAAACGGAGTCTTGTGCTACCAGATAACAAAATAGTATAAATCAATATGAAGAAAAGAAATTAACTTTCATATCTGGAACGAATGAAAATAGCTAATAATGAAATAATCAATTTAAAAAGATCCACTGTACTTACCATCATCTGCACCGGGTAGTGGTTCTTGAACATCGTCACCATCATCTTCTGTAGGCCTTGCACGATTATCACTCGGTGAATGAGCACGGTGTACAGCATTGCGTCTCAAACCATCTTGCCGACTATACTTATTTATTGAATATAAACTGTTAGGTCTGTTATCATCAGAATCTGCTTCTTCTTCTTCTGTGACGCTACGAGACTCTTCGTCTGATTCATAAACGTCGTGTCTTTCACCTTCTGACGAAGAAGATTCTTCAACTTGTGGAATTCTGCTTGACGCAACAACTGGAATGGATGAAGGTAGATTAGAAAGGGAAGTTGACATCTCACGAGCGTTGTATTCATTCTCTTTATCGCTTTTATCGTCGTCATCATCATCATCGTCATCCAAAACACGCAATCGTTGTCTACGCTTGCCTAATTTTGATAAATTACCGGCATCAGAATCATTTAACTCTGAAATACGAGTACTGCTCAACACACGAGAAAAGGATATTTTGTAAGAAACCTCTGTAGAATCCTATCACCAGTTGAAAATAAGGAAACAAAACACATATTATACACTAAAGTGCAAAGAGGAAATATGAAAAGAGAAGAGTCACAGTGTAGAATTGTAAAATACCAGCATCACTATTTACAGCTGTTATCACAATGATAATGAAGGGCTTTTACTACACAACAATGTGTTGTCAGGTGAAACGACTTGGATGAAATACTTGACTAATGGAGTTTAGTGAAACAGACAAATATTGTGCACTTAACAGATACAATAGGATAAATAACTTTTAATTATTAGTTCTGGGGTTAATTTTCACTTCCGGTTGATTGATCAAGTTACACAGAAATGCTCTATCTTCAAAAGACATGTCAGTTCCTAGTACGAACGCCGTACTAGATAGCTTTTCTCACCCAAATGGATAATGATCTGACATTTGAAACGATCGATGCAAGGATGGAGTCTTAGCGGACACACCATCGCCCCTTGGAAATGGAGGTACAACCCGGTTGATGAGTCCCAAATAAGATGCAGTATCCATCCTCAATTCCACTCCAAATCACTGTCACCCAAATTAACTTTCTCTATTCACTAACGGCCTCGCTAAGCTAGACTGTTCACTACAGTTTGAAGAATAATTACACAGTGAATTTCCAACATTATACGAAAGATATTGGATAATTAACAAGAGATTATATCACACCACCAAGAACTCAGTTTTGCATAAAACAGATCATCACAAACAAGTAGTAGATTTATAGGGAAAAAAAGTATACGGAATGAGGAAGCTACATTGACTAAAACAAGATTTTCATCAAAGGTCGATACAGGTTGAAGAAACATGTTCAGTAAAGAAAAAAATGATTAGCACATAGTCATTTACAATCGCAGCGAACTTCATCCAATACACTCGAACTCCAAATTCAGTATGAGATTCGTTTGATTATAGACCACCGTCCTAATAAATATATACCTAAGTGTACTGGATAAGGTCTACAGAATAGCATAGGTGAGCCCACGAATATGTACTGACTAAATTAAGTGACTGACACGATAGTGAAAAACAAAACACGTAATTCAACGAAGAGTCTCTTTTCGGCGAATTCATCTTCTTAGCTAACACGATAGTGACGATTGTGATCTGAACAGTTGAATGCTAAATTCAGTGATTTGAGTTAGATAAGTTCATATGACACAATGGGGAACATGATGTTTCTTCTTAGGGAGTATCAATAAGCACTCAACTTATATATATATATATATATATATATATAAATAAATATATATATATATATATATATATATATATATATATATATATATATATATATATATATATATATATATATATATATATATATATATATATATATATACTGTACACTGGTGAAAACCCTAGACTAGAATAAGGCGGAACAGATGTCCAGTGCTTGCTCACCCTATGGATGAAATCATAAACTCTAATAAAGGATATGTGATAGGCAAAGACACTAGTACATAGCGCAACAAACAATCTGTTGCAATTCAAAGGCAAAAGAAGATCAAAATACAGTAAACACAAATCTTTCAGATATATTTAATTTCATTTAGTTACGAGGGAATTTAACTATCTACACACGTCATATAGTTAGTAAGATTAGTTAATAAATTCATAAAGTGTTATTTACACAACTTTTCTAAGGTTAAATACATAAAAGCACATGAACATTGTGACAACAAATAAGTATCAATTTCAAAAATTAAAGGGACTCTTGCTGACAATGCACATGGTTCGGGGTTCCATCCCCTGCCGATGCACACCCGATATCTATGGTCGGCCTGCAAAACCTGGGCTACCGATATCACATGCTGAAAATACCATACTTGTACCGAAAATACAGTGTGGCATCAAGCTGTAATCAAAATCATATGAATATCGGTTTGCATATGTTTGTGGGAGCAAACACATATTTGAGTAAGTTAAGATATCTGTCGACTTGCACTGCTGAACACCTAACCCAAATGGCTTTCTAGTAAACATGATGGCATTATCCCAAGGAGCTCAATTACATGACAGTTGTTAGACTGTGATGATACGGTGGCGTTGACTAAAAGCCTTATAATTAATAATAAGCAAGATAATAAAAAAGCTTTTGGTTTTCCTGAAGCCTGTGTAATCAGATTAAAGAAGAAGCCGGATCTATGTATACAAGAGGAGGAGACAGTAGTTAGCTTAAATCTACCTTGATAGCATACTTTTGCTTTGCCCTTATAATTTTCCTTCCATTCCCTCTTCGCTTTACAATGTTTTTCCATAATAATTCTTTTTATCATTATCTAACATATACTGTTAGTTTTCTTAGGATATGTGCAGATCGAAAATCACAGTTGAGTATTAATTTTAGTGAGGAGTTTTCAAACTATCTTATCAGTTCAAATCAGACACGTTAAAATCTTGTTATTTAATTCTAAATGATTTATGTATTTTAAATTTATTCAGTTGATTTTTGAGAAATTTCTGGACATTTTTAATTTTATCACACTAAATGCTTATAATCGTATTAATGCTACTACAATTACTTCACTTTATTTGTTAACGTGAGTACTATTCACTTAATGATGACATTAACAGATTACCCCACTCATCACTTATAGATTATATATTCGTTCAAATTGATACTTATTTGGTTACAGGATTTCATCATGAGTTGACATCAGTTAGAGAACCATTGGAAAACTAGCTGGGAGTACTGGACAGTTGTTTCGTCCTAGTTTGCGACTCTTCATCAGTACGCACCCACCACCAGGGTTCAAACCCAGGACCCTTTTGGTTAGAAGGCGAGCTCGTAGACCATTAGGCCACTGGGACCCGATCCCGTGGCCCATGAATTCTAAATTCTGTCAATTCACGACATAGCGCAACCGCTAGCCAATGTCTTCGGCGAGTATTTGTCCTCACACCCGACCTACCTGAATAAGGCAAGCCGCCGGTGAGCATCTCATCGATATTCAAGTGTTGATGTTCGTTATCATAATATTCATGTGTTTGTATGTATTTAACCTTTAAAAATGCATAAATAACAATATTTGTACAGGAGTATTCAGTTGACTAGTCCTGCCAAAATTTCTGAATTCATTCACAATACTGCTTTTTTTTCCACAGTTGTTGATTGTTTTAAATGTACTACTGAAAAAAATGTTTTCAAAGTAAAATTAGTGTCAATGAAGTTATAGTCAAGTAGAATGAAAGGCCTTTTATATTAAATGAACAAGGTTTGTAGTTTATTTTGAATATACATTTTTTTGTATTCGTTTACGTTCCCAGTGGGCGGCTTCAAGCTAGAGGCTTGAAGTTTCTATAGCAGGGGTGATTATTTTTACAGGATGGGGTTACTAGCCTCATGCCTAACCTTCCCTCTTTACCAGCTTTATTTCTGGCTTAGCGAGGTAAAGGAGTGCGTCGGTGGCTGAGGATCGAATCCCGGACCGTGTGCATGGTCGGCGAGTGTGCGATAATTCACTTGTAAATATAAGATATGAGTTTATTAGAATAAACATAAAATACCTTTTACTTGAAATGACTATAAATCATAACACTACAGTACAAAGTAACAAATATTGAAAAGCCTTTAGAAGAGGATCCATGATGACGATGATGATGAAGAAAAACCGCATGACTTTTTTCCAGTTATAACAAATAAACTTTTCTGTATATTTAAATCCTTGTGTGTCAAAGTAGTTAGCAGACCAATTTATTCCTTCCTCTACAGGGATCAGAGAAACATCAAGTGATCAAATGGACTGACGTCATTTCTTATTCCAACTACTATTATTAAGCATTTCTTAACCTCATTTAAAGTCTAAAATGAATTGTGATTCAACCTATCATATCACTGCGTTTGCACCAACACCACAAAACCACTAACATTTTACATACACACACGCATATCTACAAAGTGCACTGCATATCATACATTCATCAAAAGAGAATCAAATAAGACCTTAGATAAAATTATTTATATTTCATATGCCAAAAAGTGCATCTTATTTTACACAATATACACTGCAGAAGAAGATGATGATACAGAAGAACAAGGAGGACAAGGAGGAGGAGGAGGAATGACATGAGTATCATCTCATTGGATTTGACATCAATACACATGGAATAATAATTTCGATATAATTTCTGTTATTTCACATTTCTCCGCATTGAGATATAAGCACTGGAACTTTAGGCCGATTGTTAGCACCAGTTGGCACATTTTCAATTTTCTTTAATACTAACATTCCATCGACAATTCGACCTGGTAGTGAATAAGGAAAAAGAAGAAATTTAACAAATTATAAGTGAAGAATAACCTTTTTAGGGTTTTAAAACAAATTTATATGTTGTTGTGTTTCTTAAACCGGATAGTTTAGTTGTGAAGCTTTCACTGTCTTACCAAACATCGTCCTTAGCGCAAGTATCAATTGTTTCTTTTCATGGATATCAGTGGACTGACTAGGGGAATCTCTGCCTAAGAAAACTACAATACTCGATTCAGAAGATAACGATAAGTACTACGCAATTAAGTATCGTATACGTTAACAACCCGTTTCACCAACAATACACTTATGCAATTTCATTCATATCTCCATAATTAGAAATAGGGAAATAAAGACCACCCCCAATAAAGTTAACTCATACCTATCACACACACACACACATTGTACAAAATCAATAAATCATGTACAGGATTTTCAGAATATAACAGAACACTAATTTATTTATAGCTGTGAATGTATTATTCCAATTTTAACAAGGAAAACTTCACAAGATTTGTTCTGGAAGTAATGTAATCTTCATGTGATTGAAATATCTGCCACAATTTGTTCTTGAAAGCTAAACTGAACATTTATTTTACATTTAAAACTGAACTCTTTGAAAGAGTATGACAGCAGTTCATGTTATCACAAAGAGAGAGAAAGGAGCAAATGAAATTCAAATAAAAAACTATAATAAGTAGAAATGTATGGGAAAGTGAGTAGTAACACGGGGAAAAGCCATGAGGATTTTCATGGATCTAGGAGAATACAAACAGTGAATGGCATCTGTGACACTGAGAACGATTTTCAAACACATAACCATTAGTCTTCATCCATCGACTCTTAATGTGCCTTATGATTCCAACCAGAGAGGCAGTCCACACCTCCCTAGATGGTTAGCTCAAACCAACTGTTGAAGACGACTTCACAGAATGATGCCAGGTTTTGGTTTGACCCCTCCTAGCTCCTTTCCAACCTAATCTTCCGTCGACTAACATTACATGACAAGGAAGGCGGTGGCATCTCAACTGATGTAACTTCAAAACCCCATCGACTGAATTTCCAACCCCATCCCCCCATTACCTAACACTACACCCAATCTCAATATGATTAATAGAACTTTGGAAGGTAATTGAGGAAGGTGTGTAACATAGTAAAAATTACATTTGTAAGTACATGATTAGAAGGAATTCGATTCATAAACAACATGTAGAACATTGATCGAATGACTAGGCTTGTTTACTACAGTATATTGATTCAAATCACTCGCCTGGATCACTAGTCACCCAGAAAAGAGTTATCTGAATAGTGAAGCAGGAAATGCAAATGTTGACCTAAATGGTGAGGTGTATGTCTATGAAATTATTCTTCATATATACTTCAAACTTACCAAAAACAACATGTTTCCCGTCAAGAAAATCACAAGGTGCACAAGTAATAAAAAACTGACAACCATTTGTATCTCGACCACTATTAGCCTAAAATAATAAAAAACAATAATTTTTTTAAGTATAAAGTGATCACTAATGTAATAAATTGGATACAGTTGATAGACTAATATAGAAAATTTATGGAAGATCTGAGGCATAAATTTAGTTACCGTGATCTATTTAGTCTTAACTATTTTTAATAACCGATATGAATTATACTGACTATACGACAACTTAAAGTCCATACATCACAATATCAAGGCAGTAATAAAGAGATCAGTTGAATAGAATACAGTCAACATCAGATCCTAGCATGAATTCATTTTGTCAATAGTAACATTAGTAGAGAGGCTCTTTCCAAAGACTACTATCCCAAATGACATTCACTAAAAGTTGAGTTGTTTGACACCTGGGTATGACAACATTTATTACAGTCCACGATACATACCATTATCTTATCACAGTCCTTAGAATTACGCTTAGTGAATACAGCTAAGAGTAGTGACAAGGTAGTCTAACTGGATACTGTCTAGCAGTTAACAGAAACACACCAAATGATCCTTTAAAACAGATACTCCTCAAAGAATCAACAGTGAAAACTGTCTGTAGTAACTTTAATCTACCAACCACAGGTTTCTACAAATCACCACCAAAATTTAGGTGTTAAAGGTAGAAACAGCTTTACGCGAAAATTATGGATCTCATATAGATCTGCTGAATAGCTTGATTTAGAGTGATTTTAAATTACTGATATTTCGTAACATCAAAAAAAATGAATGTGTAGAAAAAAGTTGAACCGTCTGACTACCAGACAACAAAATGTAACTCTATGAAAATACCTGACCAATAAATAATGCTTTCTAATATTTCTTAAAACACAAAATTGGTACAGTATGGACAACAAGCGATGCGCCATACAAAATCTCACAGTGTGGACAAGAGCTGGAATACTGCCCAGACACCTAGACTGAAGAAGGTGGTTATCTGAAGAGGCCACCACTCTCCTCCAAGCCTTGAACTTGATCCACGAGGTAGTGGTATAGAGTCAGGACGTGCTTTCCCATGGTTTCCCGTGACTGAGACAAGTTCATACGCCATTTCATCCGTTCCAACTCCTGAAACCATGTACATCATAGGTTTGTAATCAAGGTTTTCCAGCTCCCCCAGGTATTACCTGCCTGCATCTCCACCAGTTCGGTTGTAAGCGCCAAACGCTCGCATTCGCCGTTTCCTTTTTTGTGAAGAACACTCCTGTCCGTGTGAAGGCAGTGAGTAGGATTCACCTGGCACAGGCTATAAACACGTGGCCAGATGACAGCATTTCGACAGGAAGGTCGAAATCTACACACCCTCAAATACACTCAACCACATATAGACCACATAGAGTTTTTTAACAGAATTGAAGCGTAAAAAGTGTATGGAAAAATAAATAAATAGACTGATGGTTAAACAGAATACGAACACGTCATTTTTCGTGCCATGGTAACTCAGAATCAATATTGTTAAAATCGTAGACACCGAGTTGTTTGTATACTAATTCAATCGTTCTTCATAAGCGAAAACTGAGTTACATTGGGTAACTATAGTATGATACATGGCCAAGAATAAAATATAAGAATGCCATGTTAAACACACTGGCGACCACGCACTAAAAAATTCTGAAATCACATAAATGAAACCGAACTTCACAATTTGACTGTCAATTTCAATGCTATTTTAATTTAGACAAAGCAATAAGAAGACGTAATCTGTCTGAATCGTGTAATGTATTTCCACAACATATTTCGAACAATCTGATCGATCACACAAGGACTTGTCATAGAAATATATATGAAATTAATGAAGAGGTGAGAAAAGAGACTACTTAGGTCAAGTTAAAAGGACAAAATAACAATGAAAATAACTAAACCAAATAACAGAAGTAATAGTACATCAAAATAAAGTTTACCAAAGAAGGTGTTAAGTGTGATGATGAATTGTTTTTGAACGCATAAAGGTGGTCTAAACTTCCTAATCGCCAGCTAAGGCTTCCACAAACTTTAGGATACGTTCCAAACACGTTTTATGGATAGGTTTAAAAGATGTGTTAACGTCAAATTTGTGTCCTCTCTATATAATATGCTTCGCAATAGAGGAGCTAGTTCTCCTGTGTACAACCTTCTGTTTTACAAGTCTAAGAATAGATCAATATATATCACTTGCTTCTATAGAATCTTGACGTGTAAACATGATGAATTCAACAATCAATGTCATGATTATAGACAGTATTTTCTGCACCTGAAACCGTATCCTATTAAGAAAAAATCACTACACCACAGAGTCTCCTTTGAAACAAGTAAAGTAATACGGAACTACCACCACTTATCACAATGCCTCGATAGTACACACCAGCAAAGAAATCCACGGAAACATGTCAGAGTTTATATAATCCAGTATCCGAAATAAAATGTGTTGTTGATTTACACGTTTGTTAAGAAGTTCGCAGAGAACAACTTACCATAGATAACATTCCACAAGTACAATGTTTCACATGGAAATTTTCATCTGCAAACTGGACACCACCATAAATACTAAATGATCCTGTTCCATCGCCCTAAAATGTAATTCAATTAGAAAGATGCAGAAACTTAGCATGCAAATGTATCTTTATCTATTATTATAACCATAAAGTAGCATTGCCTGAAAGGAATGAAGAATACCAACAAAAAAGGTAAATCTTCGTTTATAAATTAAATTTAAAGAAAGAATCTATTGGCTAACTTCGAAGATTATATGCTCTCTTAGAATATTCAGTGTTTACAATAATCGTATAGAGAAACACTCATGTACCACGGACACTCAAAGAGCACACAAACTCTTACCAATCCCGACGAAGACATTTACACTAAGAAGTCGAATAAATTCCAAACAATTCGGAGGCTAACCAAGTTACACGTTTGTATGACAGGTAGATAGATTTAAATCTATGTCTTCAACGTTGTTGTCAGTCAAACAGAAGCTATCTCAGATATATTCTGATCAATAGTTACTTATTCAGCAGTCAATGATGGGTTATCAGTAATACCATTCTACGGAATTACCAATTACATTACTAGATTGATGTATACCTGAAATAGGACAGTAAGGCTAACGCGTTGACAAGTGTTTCTATAGGAAAGAAATACTATTTACCATAGAATGAAAAAGATTATAAAATCTATTTAATAAAAGTTAATTTATTAGCCTTTGTAGATTTTAGTTTCATACTGTGCATAATATCAAACCTGAAGTTACGAAAAAAAGTACAAGAATAAAAGCAGTCCAAAGGTTTTGTAAGGAAAGAGAATAGAGTGTTGACCAGCGATTCCCAACAGCATACTAAACGATTACGGGTAAGTCGTTTTGTTACAAGTGGCATTTAGTTATGGGACGATAACGACGTTTCTGAGATTTTTGGCTGATGGTGACTGACTAGCAGTGGAATCCAATATTCACATTTCGTCCTATTTGGGACTCCTTAGTCAGATATACCTGCCTCCTAAGTGATTAATGGTTTTCCCACAGAGGTACATCCAGATGAAGAGTCCCGAATAGAACGAAACAGGTATTTTGGATTCCACCGCTAGTCACGATAAACTGAAATAACATCATGTCAGTCCTCAGACATCGTCGAAGGGTCCATACTAGGAGTCGAGATGTCAATAAAATCAATCAGCGGGAGATGAAAATTAACCTTAAGAACAAGTTCCAAAATTTTATCGGCAATTATCATAAAAGAAGCAGAGTATTAACACACTGATGAGTGAAGCAGGAAATCTTATGGTTTCTAGTCTACTAACTAGAATCTTGTGTAAAGTGAAGTAATTCAAACCAGGTGTTTAGTTAGCAACAAAAATACAAAGATGTTTGCAGTGCAATATTTCATATCTATAAGTTTTCAACACACAAAAAATACACCATCCTGTACGGTTGAAATCCCTTTACTAGCCTATCCGCCGAACAAACATCAGGCAGGCAGTTGACAACTATTTTCGAGAATTCTCAGACATTTTTAATGAGAAGCACTGATATTGATGACAGGTAATCATTCATGAAATTAGATGACAACTATACTATAAAATTAATTTTCAAGTATTGGTTTTTGCAGGGATTTTGTTTGATTGTATCGAGGATTTAATCATGAGCTGACATCAGTTACAGAACCACTGGAAAACCTGGGAGTACTGGACAGCTGTTTCGTCCTAGTTTGGGACTCCTCATCAGTACGCACCCACCGGGATTCAATGGTCTACGAGCTCGCCTTGTAACCAGAAGGTCCTGGGTTCGAATCCCGGTGGGTGCGTACTGCTGAGGAGTCCCAAACTAGGACGAAACAGCTGTCCAGTACTCCCAGGTTTTCCAGTGGTTCTCTAACTGATGTCAGCTCATGATTAAATCCTCGATAAAATTAATTATTTATCAGTAACTTTTCATTTCCCTTACAGATTTTGTTTAAACACTTTATAGTCTTTCCAATCCCTTTTGACCATTTTGTGTCACTCAGATTCATTAGGTCATTTCCACACTTATTATGTAAGACAAAATTCCATTTGTTAACTTCTGTATGAGCATCCCCCTAGATTATTTCTCAAATCAAATAAAACACTTTCTAGGGTATAATATACCAGTATTTTATTGGTTTTTCGGTCTTCTTTCTGTTACTGCTGTAATGGATAAAGAGTGAAGATGAAAGACAAGCAACGAAAAGTGAGCCAGAATCCTCCTGATTACCATTCTGAGCTAAAAGACTCAATCAATAACTAGGTCATCACAATGCCTGGAGATCATGAGGACTGATGACAAGTCACATAACATAAGAACTACCCTATATGGATTATACACAGCGGTCGGTAGTCATCATCTTCCTCTTTGTCACAAATTACCCACTTCAAAGTTATCACCGATTCCATCGGTGAGAAAGTGAACAGTAATAAGTGATATGCGTGTAATGCTGAAATTTCACTCGTATAATACTTTTTTTATATAAAAATATCCAATTTACTAGCAACTAACTTACATTGATAAAATCTCCACCTTGTACCATGAAATCTTTAATGATTCTATGAAAAGATGTCCCTTTGTATCCAGTCGGTACACCATCTTTACGATATTCACCAGTACAAAATTGTCTATAAAGTTTTTTTAGAAGAAACAAACAACAAACAATAATAATTATGTTGTTTTGATTGGATACTAGTTGGTAAATAGTATCATGCCTTTAGTCCCTTGCTTGGTGCAAACTGAATTCCGTCAATCAAGCTCGCAAGCTTGTGGCCACCATGCTAGGTGGCTGGCCATCACGGCACACTTTCAATTGTTGATATGAGATGGTCGGAGGCAAGTGGCAAGAAGCCTTGGACCTAGGTTTCGTGATGGTTGACACTCGCCAGTTAGCAAGGCGTATCTGCAACCTTGAAGGGACTCATCTCCCTTCTGAGATTCGAACCCGCGTCACCCAGTGCTGTAGTCAGAGACGTTAACCACTGAGCTATTGGAGCTCGCGATTGACCTCCTGTAGGAGTGTAGTGAGTAATTTGACTTGACATTAGTTTATAAGTAGTATAACGCGTCTAGTCCTTTGTTTGGTTCAGTAGATCAATCGCAAGTCCGAGTAGCTCAGTGGTAACATCTCTTACTGTGAACCACTAAGCAACACATGTTCGAATCACAGGAGGGACATGAATTCCTTCAAGATTGCAGATACGAAACCTAGGTCGAAAATTACCTGCCAATTGCATTTAGTCATCTGATAACAACTATGATGTTGTTTGCGAGAGGCTGAAAATCTTCTAAAAGACTACAACCTTATCAATGAACTTCAAAAACTCACATGGATTTATGAGTAAGGACATTTTGGGTTAAAAAATCACTTTAGAATGAATACAGGGCTGAGTTAAACTTTAAGCACCACTAACTACCAATGGGGCGCGACCGCACCAATGACCTTGAGACGCCCACTGAGTAAGTTACCGAAACCTGGCAAATAAATTTGTCATCACCAATAAAATATCCTCATCGAAGTGTTATGCTATTAAATGGGATTTCTAGCAAGTTTCACCATAGGTGGGCGAAAGATTAAGTTAAGGTTCAGGCCGATGACAAGTTAGGGTGAGGTTAAGCTATTAAAGGTGATATTAACGTCAGTTTAAGTTAGATAGGTTTGGGAAAGATTACGATTATTGTTAGGGTTAGAAGACCTGATCAATTATATGCATAGAATGTGGTTGAATTACTCTGTTGATATAAGAATAGAACTTGTGTAGTGTGGTAGGGTATAGTACCATTGTGGGTAAAATGTATTTTGATAAAGTCTCACAGGATTATACAGTAATATTAACTGATGACCACGTTTTGAGTTCAATTTATTGCTCAGGAAATATTACTGTGTTACCCTATGAGACTTTATCAAAACAAATTTTACCCACAATGGAATTATACTCAGTTTATACTCGAATCTATAACTGAGGGCTATTTTCATCACATGAGAGAGGAAGGTATCCTCTGTAACACTTTTCTGAAGTTTTCATGCATTATTTCATAAATATATGTACTCCATGTTATGTACTGGTCGAGAATTTAATAGTCCTAACGCAAGAAAGACGGAAATCAGAAGACCACTGGGTTTGCGATGATACTTCCATTTTCCAAAACACCAGGAGAATCAATATGTCACACAAGTGTGTGAGAGTAAAATATAAATGAATGTCCGAACAAGTGTGTGAGCGAACATTCCAAATGAACAAATCAATAGACAGTCTTAACATGATTGGCTAATTATAAATGAATATCGATCCACATATACCTAGCAAATATAACAGACTGTCAAACAAACACACATATTATATGGATATATATCACCAAGAACAGACTGTCAAACAAAACACACATATTATATGGATATATATCACTCCACACATAAAAATCCCTTCACGTGATTAGTGCGTTCGATGTCATTCACTGATTGGCAGTTGGTGATGCTTAAAGTTTAACTTTGCCAAATACAGATCACAAATTGTACTCTACTTTACTCCGTATCCTTTAAACTAGTAGTCAGTGCATATCAGCCACCCTATAGGGATCATCTTACTTAAAACATCATCATCATCAGTCCGCTCCGTCCTCCTTTATGGTTGTGAGACCTGGCCACTCAGAGTGGAAGACATGAAAAGACTGGCTAGTTGACTTTGATCATAGGTGCCTGCGTTCTATTTCCCGTGTAAAGTGGCATAATAAGGTGAGCAACACTGAGGTTAGGCGTAGAGTTCTAGGTAAACAGGGGAAATCTATCGACGAAGTCGTGAAGCTACAAAGACTGAGATGGTTAGGACATGGGTTACGTATGCCAAGCCATCGCCTCCCTCGACGAGCAATGTTAGCGGATATAGGGTCAGACTGGAAAAAAGCTAGCGGCGGTCAAACAAAAACTTGGCACCAGTCAGTGAAATCCACAACAGTTAGTCTAAGCCAGTCACGTAGGAAGGTGTAGACTTCCAGGCTGGGGTCCTCGGGACGGTAAAAACCAATGGTTGGAAACAATTGGTGACATGGCTCAAAATCGTTCTCAGTGGCGCAGATGCATCCACTCCTTGTGACTTATGACCTCCAATGAAACTGTTTTGTTCTTCGTTATTACTCCTCCTTTGTCTCACCCCTCTGCTCACTGTTTCGATCATGCTTTACTTATACTTTCTTCTCTTGCTTCGCGTGCTACACGGAGTGTGGCGACTTGAACTTCCGCACATTTGTGCAAAGTTCTATGTCGAAAACAGACAGACAGACTTAAAACAAAACAAATCGGATGCCAAACACTTTCAAATATTTGTTCAGGATGTTTAGAAGATTATACATTCTTTCACCGTTTCCGTACAACCGGATTTCATTTCATATTTATTCAAAACCAACGAGATTTCTCCCGGTAACAACATGACTTGTGAGACACAAACGTCAAGTATAATCAATTCCACGTCATTAAGGAAATTATGTGGGAATGGTGAAATTTAATATTCCAGGAGAACATAGATTCCCGTCACATTGTACAATAACATGCTACAATTTCTTAAACAGCCTTATAAAACTGGTGTACGACGCCGTGATTAGCATAACTTTTTCTCATTGTATTAAAAAAAGGAAGCAAAGAAAAATTAACCAATCTTTGTAAGCAATCAAAGACAACTTGCCTGAAATTCTCTACAGTTTTTGGGACAATATCTTGAAAGAGTTCAAACTGCATACGACCAATTTCCTAAGAAGAATAAAAAAGAGAAAAAATGTTTATTTGGAGTCAATCAGAAATAGACAAAATATAAAACTTCTGTTCACAACTGTAAATTATGTAGTCATACTGAGGATGCACACTATTATAGCAACACTCATATAGCTTCCGATGAAACACAGGACTCCCATCAGATAAGCATTATTATCCTTTAATTAAATTTGGAAAAGTTTAAACATAGCAGTAACAGTTATTATAACGGACTACAATAAGCTTTTACACGAATTTCTAATTATTTTTACGGATAGTGATGAAGTATTCAGTATATCAAAAATCTTGTGTCGAGTATGAGCATCAAGCTGTAATTCAAAGTCATTCAAATCCTCCAAGAGTGAACATGATATACAAGACATGAATCGATTAATCTCTGAAATTCATGAAAAATCCTCATTCCAACATTAAAAGAGAGAAGATCAGTAGTTTAGCCAAGAGTCTCTTTTTCGTGAATTCATTTTCACAGCTGTACAATCTCTGTATATATCAGTTCATTTGTTGCTGTGGAGCTAGGTCGTTTGATGCACATCCTGTCGAAAAGGGTCAAAGAACACTATCCAGTATGGCTGCAAAAAGGAAGTAGTGGCCGCATAAGGATTACAATAATCGAACATCTCGTCACCACTGGTCATCCCATCTCAACAAACGCCTACTTCAAAGTAATCTACAAAGTGAAGAACGACACCTCAAAATAATACGTTTCCGTCTTCTTTGCATTGCAGAAGTCCTGGCCATTCAGTTAGAAGAACCAGAAGTATCCACACAAAAGAAATGTATTCAGCCACATCTATTATCATGGTAACAACTCCGTTGATTTGACTTAACTTTTGTCTGTATGCTTATTTTTCTAACTACTTAAAACTCTTACGTAATTACGTCATTTATTTTGTTTCCATGTACACCGTGAGCACGCTGTTTAATCAGACGTAACCCTTCTTCAAAAATCGTTTGTGACAACTCATCACTTTTGTTACTTACTACCCTCTTATATTAACAGCGGATTCCTCTGAACGCTTTTAGTATAACGCAACTCCACCAAAAAACTTACTAATTGTACTTTTGTTTGACAAATTTAATGTACACACACATACGAAATAACCATACACATTTGTGACTGTACAGTCGTGAAAATGAATTCCCCGAAAAGACACCCTTCGCTGAACTACTGGTTTTCTCTTTATTAATCTCTGAAATATTAGTACTTTGGAAACTATGATCAACACCCTTGTTTATTATGAAGAAAAAGTAAATGTAACAATGGGACTTTGCTATCCAGTACATTATTTCCCTATATATTAGGCTAAAAGGGCTGATCACTGGTTCTTTGAGTACGCATATTTAGGATAAGATTTGAGCATTAAATTCACTCAGTATACAGTCGAAGCATCTGCACAAAAAGCCGACATGTCAACCTGAGACCGAGCACTTCGGTCCAATCAATCGACGGGAAAATCAAAAAATTCAATTCAATAATCAAATTCACTCATTGAAGAAAATTATATACGTGTGATACAGATTGATGCAAAAGTTTAAAATGTTTTCTAAACACAACAATGCTCATTCACACTAAGTTTTAATAATAATAATAACAGCTTTATTCCAAACAGTATTTGTAGTACAGGTATGGAATTTTCAGCGTGTATTACAATATTGCATCTAATTACCTCATAAATTTTATAAGATTTTGAAAACAAAAAGCAACAACCAAAAAATAGATAAATGAAAAAAAATAAAAGGAACAGCATTGCGTTTACATTTTAAACAGTGCACCACAGGATATGAAATATAAAACTGGTGTGTAATAGAAGATGTGAACAACAATATAATAGTAACGAAGAAAGGAAAACAAATACTAATGCGAACTATTTGTTCGAGTGCCGCAGTAAGTTGATCGTGTCATACCTAACGGATTTCTCATCACATAACAGCTGTGCCAGATATGGTATTGTGGAGTTTTTGTACTTGGTAGTCCTAGCATATAGCCTCCTGTAGCTGCTTCTAGTTCTACCAGATAAAATGCAAGGAGAGAGCTGCGTATAGAGAGGATGCTCAGGGTCTGACAAAATAGTATTCACTAGTTTCTCACATGACATTGTATGTCTGTCCACAATAGTGTTAACCAGTTGGTTTAACGATATCCCGCTTGCCCTACTAACAGCTTTTAGTGCCCTTCTCAGCAAAGCAAAATCTTTCTTAAGTAGTCCAGGAAAGATTAATGGGGAGCAGTGAAGAGGGATGGGTAGAATACAAGAATTGACAAACTGAGAAAGCAAAGACTGCTTCATACGAGACTGCCTTAAGTTTTGTTCATTTGTAACATAGATATCAACTAAAAGTTCACAGGTATAAAAGCGACTATAAATAATAATAAGATTTAAAAACAGGCTACTGTTAGGTGCCTAACAATCAAAAGACGAGTCTACTTGAAATCACTGAGCCATGTTTAAATTTGTGTAAGCTGCATTTATCACCGGTGGAAAATCAGAGACGTCAGAAACTACTTTCTTGCTTTTGGAACCCTCAGAGTCTAACCATTATATTAAAAACATTATTGCAAGTCAACATAGTAACAAACACAGTACCCACACTAGTCACATTAATTGATACTAATTCACAGCAATATCCAATAACTTGCTTTTCTTGTTAAGCAATCATGGTTTTCGCAAACGATCTACGTATTTTGACCGATATGGTCACTGAGCTATGGTCCCGGCCGATAACTGCTACCTTGTCGTGGTGGTCGGGCTTGAATACCGTAATAACCCAACATGCTAAACTGACTGGGACCCTGTCCCTGCAGGTCCTACCATGTCAGGAAGGTTGTTTGGATAGCGGTTAAACAAAAAGCAGTTACCATGGGGTACATAGGCTCCAGTATCCAATCGGATCAAATGGCGTATGAACCCATATGGGTCACCGGAAACCATGCGAATGCAGATCCTGACGCTGCTCCTCTGCCTTGCGGATTAGACTTCAAGTCAAAGGCTCAGGGAGTGGTCCCTTAATAAAACCACCTCCTTCGGCCTGGGTGCCCGGGCAGTGTCTCAGCCCTCACACAATGAATTGAATGAAGCAACGAACAATCAATGAAAATTATCGCGTGCTATCACACGTGTTGCAATTTCCTTCTTTCTTCCCTTCCTGATGATAGTTAACGAATACTGTTTGAACTTGTTAAGCATGACTGTTTTCCTTCCAGATGAAGTTTTTTATCCGTTCTCTACTTATATACATATATATATTTCTCTTCTTTCTTTTTTTCTTTTGATCTGTGTTGTTTTATTATTATTGTGTGGCGCATCCTTCTTGGTGCTATATTGTACCAAGTTTTTATGCGTTTAAATAAAATAAATAATAAATACTGGGCTATGGTGGTTACTAGCAGTACTTGCCAGCGTGCAGTATCCTTATCCTTAAGGAAACCCACCTTGCCCCAGTCGGCCAGTACTAGTATAACACAGTGACAAAGCCAGAGACTTTAGAACAAAGTACTGAGTGGCATCTGGTAGAATCAAGGCAGGTTTCCTAGGAGTAAAGATGCGTCTTGTTGACATGCACGGAACATACGGTATACGATCAATTAACTCCCACATATTAACTCTGTTTAATAATGTATTTGTTTCTCACAGATTTACTCATAAAGTGCTATTTGTTGGATATCTGTGGTATCTTTTGTCTGTCTGTTTTCGACATAGAACTTTGCACATATGTGCGGCAGTCCCAGCCGCCACACTCCATTTGGCACACAAAGCAAGAGAAAAAAGTACAAGAAATGCATATTAGAGACAGTAAACAGAGGTGTTAGACAAAGAATAGTAATAAAGAAGAATATAGTTTCATTGGAAATCATAAGTCACAAGGAGTGGATGCATCTGCGCCAGCCATTGAGAACGACGATTTGGAGCCATGTCACCAATTGTTTCCAACCATTGGTTTTTACCGTCCCGAGGACCCCAATCAGGAAGCCAGTCTACACCTTCCTACGTGGCTAGCTTAGACTAACTGTTGTAGATTTCATTGACTGGTTCCATGTTTTGGTTTGACTGCCACTAGCTCTTTTCCAGCCTGACCCTATTTCAGCTAACATTGCCCGTTGAAGAAGGCGATGATTAGGGATACGTAACACATGTCCTAACCATCTCAGTCGATGTAATTTCACAACCTCGTCGATTGATTTCCCCTCCTTGCCTAGTACTCGACGCCTAACCTCAATATTGCTCACCTTATTATACCACTTCACATGGGAGATGGAGCACATGTACCTATGATCAAAGGATGGTATCTTCTACTTCTCATCATGGTAGATGAAGGCGGTAGTCAATGTACCTAAACATTACAAACTTCAGTGTTTAACTGAGTTAAAGAATATCCTGAAACATCCCTTATAAACTCAATTATTTAAGTATTCTGGTCTACCTTTTCAGATATTTTATAGTCGCCACTAAATAATAACCGATTTTTCCCTTGAATCTAAAGCTCATGAGTGATACAACTATAGTTCAGAATACAAGGAAACACAAATATATAGAGAATACCGGTAGAAATAGCTATTAAAAGGTTATTCGCTTTTACATACTGAAAAATATTTCACAGTAAAAATTATAATTTCCTTCAAGCTTACAAAATCATATTTAGTAATTTGGTGTGCAATCTAGCTATCCATCCATCCCTTGGAGAGAAAGATTTTCAAAAGAGGAAATAGTCAATGACTACATTTAAACAATGACATAAAAAAGTTTTCATTTACCTGACCACCAATAGTCACATCGAAAAAAACGACCGGATTTTTAGGATTATTCATACGTTCTGCAACAGCTGGCAACGGTACCGCCATGATCTAAACAAAATTGGAAGAATAATATAGCCATTTTTAATTTCAACGATGAAATAATGGAAATATCCAGAAAAGAAATCTGTTAACGCTTAACTATAAATACGACAAAAATATTATATTGATTAATTGTTGGAATCTAGCCTAAGTAAATTTCATCTTCAATACTCAAACATCTATTGTTCGACAACCAACTTACCTACACTAATCGTGCGTCGGTAGCACAGCGGTAGAATGCTCGCCAAATACGCAGGTGGTCCGGGACTCAATTTTCGGCCGACGCACTCCTTTACCTCGCTAAGCCAGAAATACAGCTAGTAAAGAGGGGAGGTTGGGCATGAGGCTAGCAACCCCAACCCGTAAAAATAAACACCACTGCTACCGAATCTACAAGGTTCTAGCTTGAAGCCTCCCTATGTTCCACTGGGAACGTAAAGGAATAAAAAAACACCTAAATTAACACAATGAGTTAAGTAGCGCATATCTCAAGCCCTGTCCAACAAAAAATGCTACTGGCCAAATGAATTACGAAGTCAAGGAATAATTTTCCCATTAAGGATTCGAATTTATCCTTTAGTCATTCACTGTCACACAAGTGAAATAGACTACTGACTAATAGGTGTACATTATTATGTGATGATTAGCTCCCAGTAATCAAAGGAATGAATAAAAACCTCTAAGGTGAAGTGAGTGAAACAGTATTATTTATTCAGTGTTAATATTTTTTTAATAGAATACTATATTACTAGTGAAGTGAATAAATACAGATGTGCAAGTATTGGTTCGTAGGGATTTGGTTGATTGGTTACAGGATTTCATCATGAGCTGACATTGGTTAGAGAACCATTGGAAAACTAGATGGGAGTACTGGACAGCTGTGTCGTCCTAGTTTGGGACTCTTCATCAGTACGTATCCACACTACAGGGTTCGAACCCAGGACCTTCTGGTTACAAGGCGAGCTCGTAGACCACTAAACCACTGGGACCCGATCCAATGGCCATTCCATGAATTCTAATTTCTACCAATTCACGATATAGCGTAACCGCTAGCCAATGTCTTCAGCGAGTGTTTGTGACTTTATTAATGAAGATACAAAAAAAGGTACATACACTACTGTGTATAGTTTGCAACAAGTGGAACGTATGAAATTAAGCCTTCTAATGAGAAAAACAAGAACAGAAAACTACAAAGTACAACTACCACATTTTGGCTGTTGTCATAATACACTGATACGAGTTCAAGTATGAAAGCCAGCGAATATGATTATCGGCAAAGAAATTGGCATCATTCTCAACAATTTCAAACTATTCCACCGGAAGTTTACAGTCGACACTTCTTAATATCTGAAGGATCTTAGACTAGAAAACTATATTTTTACACAACGTTTAATCTGAAAGTGTCTCTAAAGAATGGTACATCGTGTCTAGCGAATGACATTAATTTTCTTTTCAAACAAATCCTACCACAGTGATTAGAAAGAATGAATAAGCATGCTTACAGATCCTTATATATTTTTACACTGAAGCATAAACAGAAATATCAAACCAATTTCAGACAAAGTAAAGTTTGAAATATGTGCCAGTTACGAAATATACTCATTTTATGGAATAAACGACAGAGGGAGAAACCTTCCATTCCTTCAGCTTCCGAGTGGAACATACGGCTTGAAGTTTGAGCTTTGAAGTTCCAGTGGTGGTGTTTTCTACTTGGTAAGGTAGCTAGTCTCACATATAACCTCTATTCACTAACAAATCTAGAAATGCATCGGGTGGGAAGTCGAACCTGAACCATGTACACAGGTTAGCGAGCTTTCTACACCTGAACTACAGACCCACTGATAACGTGTAATTAAAAAGAAAAATAATCTCCCAGTTGTATGACTTTCATTAATCCATTAATTAGTTATACTTATTAGACTTACAATTACTTATCTGATCTCCACCGTGAATAAGCAACAATAGAATGCTGTCCGGTTGATTCGAAAAAGTTAACTCATCATCACATACCAATTCTATTACCGATCTCTTAGATATATGTATAGATTCACGAATAATTTCACTAGCATGGAATGCTTTCTCATAGTTATTGTTTAACTTCAATTACCCAGAACATATCTGTCATGGACCAGGCTAAGAGCCCTCACTTATCACGTGAGGGCTGTGAATACTACACAGTTTGAAGTAAGTGGAACTGGACTCGAACCTATGATCCATCAGTTGAAAACCGAGTGATTAAAGCCAATTAACCTTCAGTCAATGTCAATAAAGGAAATAATCGCAATAAAAACGACAAAACCTTACAATAGTATAACCAGAGAACACATGTTGAAAATCTGGTTTCCCTCTTATAACCACTAATATTATATAATGTAGTGCACCTATAATGTAGTGACTTGCAGGAGGTCATGTGAAGAGGAGATGAAAGCGTGTGGGCAGACTTGGAGAGGGGTGAAAAAGTTGGCAGAAAACCGAACGTAATGCAGACGCTCAGCTGAAGCCCTATGTTCCTCTAGAAACTAAAGGATAAAATAATAAATAATAATATAATAGTGCACACATTGCCAGATATGCATACATACATACACACACAATCAAACAACAACATGACACAACAGCAGATACATTTAAAATAAGTACCAGATCTATTTCCACTGTATAAGCAAAAATAACGTTAGTTATTAACATCATTCGAACAAAAAACGGAGAAGAAAACTAGAAATGTAGATAAGAAGGCAAAATACTATAGGAATAGAAATGCAACTTTATTATAACAATGCGTATATGCAGGATTATGTAATATAATAATATCTCTTACATAAAAAATATACATTTTAAAAGAAAACAACAAAATAATAAAATATTTACAGGAATAAGATTTTCTACAAGGAGAAATGCTTCGAAAAGGAAAAACAGACAACACCAACAGCAAACATTTACAGTGTGATAATGTCTTGCAACACTAATCTATGCAAAATGTTTTGACATATTTGTGTACAATGTTCTATCACTTCTTCAGCGGGAAATATCACATTCTTCTTTTCGATTATTGGCGGTACTCATATACTATGCATCAGTCAAAGTGTCTGTCCAGTTAAATCTGTTAATAGACAATTATTGGGCAAACAAAAAGAAGCTAATGAAATAACGATAAAAATATCCAATTTTAATAATGACTCAGTCAGTTGAGAAAGATAAAATAATAAACAGAATTTTGCAAATAAGAAAATCATACTTAAATAATTGTGATTGTCATGTGAACCTGAATTCGTCTTGACGGATAAAGAATTCTATATAATCTGCGTAAAGTATCGGTTGAAAATCATTATTTTGCATTTCTGGTCGGTCAGTTTCCTACCTGACCAGTATAGTTTCTCTTGACACGTTGTCGTCTGTCACGTTAACTAGTACACACGCTTCGACATTATACGTATCTTAAGGTCAACACAACGTGTTTCACAAATAGCACAAAACATATGTGCTAGACTCTAAAAAAACTAGCCAAAATCAATCAAATAATATATTCCACGTAGTACTATTCAATTAGACTGAGAATATATCTCAAAATTGTCTCGTGTGCTTTTGGAAGTGTGTGAATGGTTGTTACTTCCCGGCTACCCATACAGTGGAAGTTGATTGATTCTTCGAGTACCTGAAACAGAGAGAGGGTTAGTGTTGCGTGACCGCAGAGACCAGGGAACAATTGCTTGATGCTGATCGGGCCTCCAAAGCCTCAGGATGGTCGGGGGTGGGTGCCTTGCGCTGCGGGTTGGCCACCCCTCCGCACACCTCTTGAAATGCTCCCATATGACCGGGCGTCTTACATAGTCTCTCCTGAGGAAGTCCTACTCACTGCTTTCACGTGGCGGAGGTGCTTCTCACCAAAGTGAGAGGGCGAAAGCGGATGCCCGGCGCTCTCCACCGGGTTGACTGTCCATTGGATGACAGTCTAGGGGGGATGGCTAAACCCTGATTCCAAACCTCCAACGACTGGCGTATGAAGCTCACTGGAGCTCACCGGCAGACGTATGGACAAAGGGCTTGTTGGATGTTCTGGATGTCTGGCCCCATTCAAAAAGGCGTATGAACCGAACTCCGGTCACCGGTTGCCAATGGATAGTGGACTCCTTACTCCACTCCTACTGCCTTGTAGGTCACACTTAGCTGTGTAAAGGCTAGAGCTGCACTCTCAAACAAAAGGCCGAGCGATGCTGGGGACATCACTCGTACTAAATTCCCATGAAACTTCATGAACTCTCTTACGAATTGCCGCGCCTGGGCAGCGATGATTCGAAACGTTCATGAAGCCGGCTTATCCTCCCGTAGGAGATAGCCGAAGTAAAGTAAGTAAGTAAGCTGATAGGTCAAACACGGCATGTATGAACTGGTTTCTGGGATTGGTTCGGTATTAGTATACTTACCGTCGGTTACGCACCACCGTAGGTGGGGTAAGTCGGGATGTATAATTGTTGGGGTCGACCATTTCTAACCCCATCTCTCCAGAGTGGAGAGACAGCATAGCTGGCATGCTAGTCATCTGAGGGAAGCACCTCACTGCTGTTACAACCCTGTTCCCCAGCAGTACGACTTCGCCCACAGACCCCCAGAATAGTGTAAACAAAAAATTCTTACACAATACCGGTAACTGCTTTTAGTCTAACTGCTAACCTAACAACCTTCCCGGCACGGTAGGACCTGCAGGAATATTGGTTCCAGCCAATGTAGCTTATTTGGTCATCGTGATGTGCAAGCCCGACCACCACGTCAAGATAGCAGCTATAGGTCATTAATAATAATGTTACGTAGCGTTTCTGAAAAGCCCGCTTAAGCGTTCGCCACATAGCACAAACCAAATGTTGCAACTAAAGCGGATACAACGAAGTACTATTGCAGTTACTTAATGAGTCGCAAAAAACCATATAGTTTGTCCAAAGCAAATTGAACATTCATTGGTTTAGTTCATCAGGAGAACTAACCATAGCATCTCCACCAACAAATGGCATTTGAAGCTAAAATTAATCTCGATCGATAAACAGAATCCGAATACACATCGATTTCAAACAGTTCTACGTTAATTCAATCATCCTATATTATTGAATCATAGTATATGCTTAGGTATTCATCAATCAGCCTAAGATAGAACCATAGGATACGTTAAGCTTGTTGAGAAAATGTAAAACTATGAATTTCAGTAGATCTCCACGACTCTTATTCTTTTAACCAACTTCTCTGATGAAGTCTACAATAGACAGAAATATAGTTGGGAGTTGATTTTTCTGCTATTTCAATAATCTGAAGCGTTTTGCCAAGTTAACAGTGTCTCCACAATAATAGTTACATTATTACAGAATGAAAAGCAGTCATTCCATGCAGTATGAAGCTGTGAGACGACAACTGCACGTCTTAACGACTCAACATCACGTCACTTACTAGGGAGACTAACTAGACAACTATCCAAAAATAAGGCATTGAACACACAAACCGAAATATCACTGAACACGTATGCGCGTTCAGCTAAAAATGTCTAGGCCATTTTTTCATTTATAACACTAGGATCAGTACACAATAATTTGAAAACAACACCCCACATGCAATATACAATATTCAAATACACCAGATAAAATTATTCCGAGTATTAATCAGACATCGAAGTAGACTGATCATACTACTCAGACATATTTTGATTAGCATTGACAGGAAGATACAAATTTTACACCGAATGACCTTAATCCTAAAGAATTCAAGTGAACAGATGAAGTTAGGATAGTCTTTTGTTTTGAAGATAAAATTATTTGAAGTTATTCATTACACTGTTTCATCAATTCAATATTCAAATTTCAAGGTGGATTCATCACCATTCAATCATTATTTAATATTAGAAAGTGAATACACTATTGCATGATACACCATCATAGTTCATTACTTAATTTTCAGTTGTTCTCACCTTTTAATTTTGAAACATTTCAATCTGCTTTTGTTTTCGTCAACTTGGACGACCGTTTCTTTTTCTTTGGTATTGTATGATTTTCTGGCACCGACTCATTGTCAACTGAAGCATTCGGTGGAACAGAAGAGTCATTAGATTTAATTGGAGTTGAATGACTAGAAGTTGTTAAAATGTTCGAAATTTCAGGAAGAAAAGTTGAAGAAGAAAGCTGATCACACCATTGTAAAACACTAGGCGAATACTTATCGTGTAATAAGGATAAAAATTCAATATCAGATTTATTTGATTGGGAACCCCGTGAATACAGTGATGGACACGTTAGTACACGTGATGGAGCATTATCTAGTGACAAATTCACTTTAGATCGTCCATTTTTTAACTTCTTTATCTGCTGTACACGACGCTTGATTGGCTTCTGTGAATTTTTCATTTCATCTGAAATTGACTGCTTAGAATCACAGCACAATGATTCTCCACATGAATTGACGATAACATTATCATTTTGATTATTAGTAGATGGAGGTGATGGACTACGTGGGGAATCTAGTATCGGAGGATCAATCATATGTTTGTTTCGAGAAATAATCCTGTGGGCTACCTCAGAAACTTTTGATAAAGATGAATCTGGTGTTTTTGTAATCTTATCGCATATATCAGGAACATCGACAACTTCAGCCGAACCTAAAAAGCCAAAATAAGATATTAGGAATCAGATGATCGATAATAAAATGACTACGGATTAAAAACTGACGGTGTCTTCAGTGATGATAGCAATACTACAACTTAGCAAAACGAACATAAGCACGTTTCACTCACGTTCACAGTAGACACCATGAGCTAATCCATAACACATTCATAATACAGTACTCTTGCATAAACAATTCCCAGACAACCAGGTGCTAGTGATAAAAGTATTACAGGAAAACCAAGTCACATATTAGTCTACTTGCCAATCTAGAAATCATAATATGCAGTGGATGATTGTGACTGTGCCATAACACTGAATACAATGAGAACAGAAGGTCTACCGTCCTTTATACAAAGTATAATCTGAACTGATGCCCCTACAAAATTAACTGTGAAAGAAGAATTACAAGAAAATTTTGACATATCTTGAGTAAATTGTAATTTTTACTCGACAGCTAACTTATCATCTTTTTAACGAAAAGCAAGACTCGTTCATAAACCATCTTTTTCAACATTCAACTCATATTATTCCAGTAATTCGACCTCAAAAGTGTGTCAGTGGCACAGTGGTTGGGACGCTCGCCGACCATGCACATGGTCCGGAGTTCGATTCCCGGCCGACTCACTCCTTTGCCTCGCTAAGCCAGTAATAGAGCTGGTAAACAGAAAAGGTTGGGCATGAGGCTAGCAACCCCATCCTGTAAAAATAAACACCACTGCTACAGAAACTTCAAGCCTCTAGTTTGAAGCCCTATGTTCCACTGAGAACGTGAGGGAATAATGAATAAATAAATAAAAAATAAAAAAA